GGCAGCCCAGAAAGCCAACCGTATCCTGGGCTGTATCCGGAGAAGTGTGGCCAGTTGATGAAGGGATGGGAGTGTCCCACTCTACTCGGCTTGTGTGAGACCCCACCTGGAGTACTGTGTCCAACTCTGGTGCCCCTCCACACCAGAAGGACGCAGACTGGTTGGAGCAAGTCCAGAGGAGGCCACGAAGATGCTCAGAGGGCTGGAGCCCCTCTGCTATGGGGACAGGCTGAGAGAGTTGGGTTTGTTCAGCCTGGAGAAGAGAAGGCTCCGGGGAGACCTTATTGCACCTTCCAGTAACTGAAGGGGCTACAGGGAAGCTGAGGGGGGACTTTTTACTAGGGTTTGTAGTGACAAGATAAGGGGTAATGGGTTTAAATTGAAAGTAGGCAGATTTAGGTTAGATAAAATTCTTCCTGGAGAGGGTGGTGGTGGTTGCTTTGAGTAACCTGGTCTAGTGGAAGGTGTCCCTGCCCATGGCAGGGGGTTTGGAACTAGATGGTCTTTAAAGTCCCTTCCAATCCACACGATTCTGTGATTCAGGCATTTAAAAGTGAGCCAAATAGAGATAACAAATCCAGTGAAGTCAACAATCCTGTACTACTTGGAGGACTGAATGAATGAACTAGTGGATTTTAAGGTTTACAACTCTGATTCATAGTTTTTCATCAGCATTCTTTTGAACCAACAACAGCTCTCTAGTGTGCATAATCCAAGAGGTGTCTTTGGTAGGCATAAACCAGGAAGATTCCCCAGACATTTACAAGAAAAGGATCCTCACAAGCTATGCCTTTTCAGAACACTCAGTAAAATTGCTTAGACTGGAAGATCAAAGTTAGAATGAAAAAAAAAAAAACAAACTCAGAGGAAGAGGCTTATCTGTAACTTGTCTGGTGATGTGAAAGATAGAGGAAGCTAACTACATAACAGCTGTGTGCATGCGTTAGTGCGTGCTGGCATATGCACTTCTGCATCATAAACTTTCTCCTGAGGAGGTAGACAAATGGAGTGGTTTCAATATGCATTATCTGACTGAGCTGAGTTTCACCAAGATGCTCTCACGTCCTTCCCATCTTCTCCAGAGAAACCATCCCTCCTCTCCACCTTTTCATTTCCACATACTGTGGCTTGTGCTGTCCTCACAGTCACACTGTTGCTGTTTAAAAATCTGTTTTTAAACATAGAGAAATCTGTATGCTGTTTGAGCCATACCTGCACTTCTGAGTCAGGAGATTCCAGCAGCAAGGCAAGCACTGGTAGGGCTCCCTCCTTGCACAGGACCTGTTGGATTTTCTCTGCCGTTAAAAAAAAAATAAAATAAAAAAGTGCTGTTAGTGTGTCTTTCCCCTTCCCTCTCTCTCATCTGGAGGCACATTCAAAAGGGATATGCACAGTCATTGGATTCTAGAGAGTGGTGAAGTTGTCCCAACGTATGCCAATCAGCGTGACTGAAGAGCATATAGTTCGGAGCCTGTGCAGTATAGCAGCACGCAGGCAGTTTAGCAAAATGACTAGCAGGCCGTCTGAGCAATTCAGCCTTTGCTGGTTTTATGCTAAAGACTGTTCCAAGAAGCTGAATTGGTAGAGAAGCTGAAAAAACTCAGATACAATGTTCACCATGATTTCTGTGTCTAAAAAAAATATAAATAAACATTCTTTTAAAACTGCTGAGTAACAACAGAATTGTAATAACCAACTCCAGAAGTTCTTATCTAGAGATAAGAGACATTGCTCACGCCTGTACCATTTAGCTGTGTGGGATAATGGTATCATCTAGACAGGTGAGATTTAGTGCTGGTTTGTTTCGGAATTAATGTATGGTAGAGCACATATTACTGCAGCGGAGTAAATACTGCTTTTGCTAAAGCTGCGGGCACATATCCCAGGAGCCTTTAATGTCTTGCCCCTTCCAGCATAAAGTTGGGGATACAAATCTAATGTTCCTGGAGCTTGATCTTGTTGGATAAACTTCTGAGATTGCTTTAACGTACCACCAAATGTGCTGCTAACTTTTGAGACCAAGTTATTCCTGTAACAAACAATTTTTTTGGTTTTTTTTTCTGTTTCTTTGACCGATGATTTACGTTCCCAGTATCAACATGCCTATGGTATCAATGTGAATGCCATATGCAAAGGAAATAATTTGTTGCTCAGATATGCTTTTATTCTTGCCTTAACCCTTCTGCATTATTTTTCTATCAGTGAGAAATTTTCTTGCAGCAGTTTTAGAAAAGCATTAGTCAGAAAGTACCTGATTGCGTGAGGTTGAGAATAGCACCAACTGCATTTTGTTGGACTCTAGGATCATAGGAATTGGCAAGAGCCAGTAGGGGTGTAACTCCTTGAGCAGCTCCAATAGCCTCTCGGTTGGACTCTGGAGAAAAGAATCAGAGAAAGGAATAGGATGTTGCCATCTTACTATGAGCCAGGAGCAGGACAACTAGCAGGACTAGGTTTCTTTGGCATTCACTTCTCTGTTTCTTTGGTGTATTTGAAAATTTCTCTGCATGCTCAAAGGAACCTGTTAAAAAATCCAAGAGCTCAGTGGGAAAGAAACAAAGTCATGGCTTCTGGATTAGCCATAGGTCACAGCTGGCTCAATGCTTTTGTTTTGTGACTGGGATGATTAAAATAAAAGGACTGTAACTTCCCTTAAAGAGATTAGCAAGGTGTCATACTTGCCTTGTACCCCTGGTATGTCTGATCAGCCTATTTGTTTTGGACTTTACAGTCTTGTTTATATCTATACATTACCTGCATTTGTGTCTTATAAACATTCTAGTGGCATAATTTTGAAAAAAAGTAAGGTGTAGGCAGTGGTGTTCTTTGAAGCTGATGGAATTTAAATGGGAATTATACTAATGAAGAATTCTCTTAATATCACAGTATCCTGGAGAATATTTTATAAAAGGAAAAGGCAAAATCCATAGTCTGCATCTTTCTTTGATTGAGCCAAACTGCCACAGAAGACCATAGGAGTTTTAGTTGAGTATCTCTTCATTTACGTAGATTTCTAGACAGTTTAAACAAGGGCCAGTCTCTAGACATTTGCTGGGAGAAACATGAAGCAGAAGAAAGCAAGAAATGGGAAGGTATTTGGATGAGATCAACTCTTCAGGCGCCAACCAACTTAGAGAGTTAGGAGAGCAAAGCCATTATTTCTGTGCCTGGAGCCTGTCTATACTAGGGAACTGACACACATGGGTAATCCAGGATATTCAAGAACAGTTCAGCCAGTATCAGTTTAGTATTCTAGGACAAGTCCCTTTCTGCCTTCACATGAATATTCTACACTGAAGGAAATACCTTTTATTCTGGAAAAAAGTACTCTAATTTTTGAGCAAAATAATTGTTCTGGGAAGGGTCATGTATTTAAAAATAGCTTTTCCACATGGGAAGCTATTATTCTGGTGATATTTTTCTGGCCAATTTTGTAGACAAGCCTTTCTCCAATTTAATCTGCCTGCATATTGTTCTTTTGTTTCCCTCAGCAGAAGCAGAAATTCTTTTCTGTGGCTCCAACTGATGGAAACCAGCCCGGTGTGATGTATACTCTAATTAGTTGAGCAAAAAAAAGAGGTAAGAAGATTGAGAATGCAGATACTGCTGCTTCCTTCATTCTTTCACACAATACACTCCACGATGTTTGTGAAATGTGGAAGAGAACCTCACATTTGGGCATTACAAACATTTAGACAAAACCTGGGCAAAATATGAGGAGCCATTGGGTGCTTCAAAGGTTTTTTTTTTTCCTTAAAGAAACATAAGTGGCTTGATTCGGAAAGGCTTCACATCCATGACAGCTCAAACAATTTTTTGCCGGAGGGCTCAGAAGTGGTGGTCAACACTGGAAGCCTACAGCAGCCGGGTGAGCTCTTACAGCCTGCTTTGGAGGGAGGTGGCACTTGGAGACCCAGGTACCCCACTCCTCCCTGGGAAGACTGGAGTGCCTTCACTCATCATGGGGAGTGGAGAAGCCACAACACATACCCACACAATGGAAACCTCTGTGACCAAAACAATTTTTTCTTTTCCCTTGGGTCATTCACTAGCTGACAAGTTCTCCTCTGCAGTCTTTGTTAGTGCCCATTATTGTGGGTTTGCTGGATTTATTTTTACATAAATCATTTTCCCTTATTCTTCTCTCCATTCTCATTCTAGTTTAGGCCAGACAACGTGGCTGAACACTATGTGTTTTGTCACCTTATGTCAGAATGGATGGAGATACTGTCTCACCAAGATGTGCTCCTGGATGCTCACCTCCGTAAGAGATGCCACTGCAACCGCCGATGCCCCTTAGAGTGCTTCTACAAGGAGACCATGTATTCAGATGCTACTCCAAAGCAGGGAAATCAGTAACATCTACTCCAGCTGGGTTTAAATAACTCACCTTGAAACCTGCGTTTATAAATTCTTTCTTTCCGTGCTCTGCCATTATTGTGCTTGAAAATTCTCCTCTCAGTACAACTTTGAACGTGCCCTGCACTCAGCGCATCCTCCGTGTTTACCTTAATGCAGATGTTCAGGCTGCCCTAAACCCTTGCTGTGAACGTCTAGTTCTGTTCCTATGTACTCTGAGAGGAGTGCTTATCGCAGAACTGATTACATTCACCCACAGAGTGAAAAGTTGCAGATAATAGCACATGTGCTGTGTGGATAAATGCCAGTGTTGGAACAAACTGACCTTCAAATTCTTTTCCTCTAAATGGGTTGGTTTGCTGTTTTTATTTTGGGCTGCCTACTGCAACGACTAAGTACAAAACAACCCAGTTTACATATGACCTGCAGTCACATTGCTACAGTTTCACTCTGTACACAGTCTTGCATGCTTATTGCAGCAGAATTAAGATACTACTATTCTTAGATTTAGAATTTTGGGCACCTTAAAGCTATCTAAAGGATCTTCCTAATTTGATTGTGCTTCTATATTTATCTTTTTAAACCACTCTGAGGTATGAATGGCTTACTTGAAGGACATGGTTGAACAGAATACTTCTCTCAAGTAGGCCCTTTAAGATATCACAGCCTGCAAGTTAAAATAAAAATAAACCCTGGAGAATTGCCTCCTGCTTTAGTCTCATTGCTGTGGTAGCTAAACATAGCCTGAAAAAGAAATAAATGGATCCAGTCTATCTAAATGCTAGTTAGGCTGGGAGAGAGATCCTCAAAACAGATCTAAATCCCAGACAGCAACCCAGCCTATGCACTTACAGGACTGCCTACCTCTGTGTTCAGCAGATGCTCTCCTGTCTAGTTTGAAAGCTCCTTGAATCCTTAACGTGAACTACTCATGTTCAGAAGTGCACTGACACTTGGCAGAGTGTCCAATGGCATTGAGTGACCACCCTCAACAGAGGATGAAGGAGGATTGGATCTGGAGTGGTCGAGGGTTCTCTATACTCTGTATAAACAACAGAGACATCTCCAAGGGCCAGAGTGCTTTCAGGACTAAGGACTATCTTTAGTTGCCCAAAGAAGTGACTTTCTCTGTGGGCTGCTTAAACAGGTGAGGGATAGCCCTCTGTAGATCTTCAGGTGCGTAACTCCACTGACCATACACAAAGCAAGCCCTCCTAGTGCCAAGGACCTAAACTTTTAGTGATGCCATACCTAATTTAGACATTTAAATGAGGTAATTTGCATACCACACAAAAGAGTGTAACATACAGAGTTCTTAACCTGACCATCACAGCATGCAACACTTAAAAATGTTTTAAAACTTGCAGATAGATAACCGATAGGACAAAACGCAAATCAGCACTTTCAAGTTGTTGGATCCTGCTTATCCACTCCCCCTTTGCAACAGAAATGCCTAAGTGAGGAAGTGACACTTTCACCATGCTTCTCCCAGCCTTCTGGAAGATCTGATTGCAACTTCCCATACTGGAGAAGAAAGCAGGTGGAATAAACACTAGAGGAAGGGAAATACATATTATTCATGCCTTTTATACATGTGGGACAGTTAGAACAACCCAAACTAAGCAGATAACCTTTTTTTTCCTAACTGTCGTTGAGCTTATCTGTCTGGATGCCAGGGAAATATCTGTATCATGATATGAAATACGCATAGTTAAGCAAGAGAAGGTAGTGCTAAATGCAAGTTGTGCATAGTGGATAAGGAACTGACTAAGCAAGTTTTGGGGAATGGAAGTGACCACCTGGAAGGAGGCTACAAGTGGAATGCTGCCGGGACTGGTCTGTTGGTTTTGAACCAGAAAGCTAATACAAAAGCATGAGTACGACACTGTCAGTGCGGTGGGGGACTGGAACACCTTACAGATAACAAAGTTAGAAGACTGAAGCGACAGAAGCAGAATGAAACCTGATGGTACCAAATGCAGGGATGCGCATGTAAAACGTTTGTTGCAGACCCTTAATTAAATGGTGTCTGCCGGAAATAGCAGCAGAGGAGGATAAAGACTATTAAGTCAGCTGCAGGATGAAAACATGACCGTGATGCAATCACAAAAAAAAGCAAGTGTTATCCTGAGATGTGCCACAAAACATATTTTCCCGGATGCCACAATAGAAGCCACATGTGAGACCCCAGCTGAAATACTTCACATTTCTGGTGACCTCCCTTTCAGAAGTGAATTCAAAATGGAACTCCTGCAGCATTTATGTACATCTTGGGACTTTAACAATGCCTGAGGTCTGTGGTATCACAAAACACCAGAGGCAATTGGGGTATTCCATTTCTGGAACCTATCATTTACACCCAGAAGGGCTATGAAGATGAATGGAGAGCCTCACTTATAAGAGGAGTCTTAAATGAGCTTGGCTTTTTCAGTCTAGTAAAATGAAGGAGCCTCATCAGCACAGACATCAGAGAGGGAGAACTACTGAAGCAAAAGCCCGTGTAGACAGTAATTAAGATAAGCTGGTCATGAATATATTTAGGTTGGAAATCAGAAGAAGGTTTGTAATCATAAGTGAATGAAGGTCAGAAGCACTGAGAAAGATCTTCACTGGAATCTCAAGAGGTTGAATTTATAATGTGGGAATACCACAGTTTGTGCTGCATCTTGTGACTCTTAACCCAGTTGCAGATAGGTTGTTTTACCTTGAAGTATGATGTAAGAGTTGGATGAATTCACTACAGAGGATAAAGGGGAAGAACACACTCACCTGAAACAGCCAAAGTCATGGTGCAGGCACAGGAATTACATTGAACAGTGGGATCCTCTGACTCAAGCAGATCCAGAATTGGCTCAAGTAAACCCATTTGGACGACTAATTCTTTGTCAACTATACATAAAATCAAGGAAGAAAATGAACAATCAGAAAAGTAAGCAGTTATTACCTTTGTGAAAAGAATGTATCTTCCTTTGACTGCTTTAGGGGTCTACGTCATGATTATGCAAAATCGACCTGAGATGGAAACAGCCTGAAAGGGACTCGTAGTCCCTAGCTTGGCTTCCTTGATTCCTCTTCAGACTCATGAAAGAGGGTAAGAGATGTTCAGAGGTTCCAGTTCATAAGGTCTCAGATATTTCTGCTAGCAATTCTGTTTTCAAACATTAAGTTCATTTTGGAAAAGTGCAATGGCAGCTTTCCAACAGGTTAACAATTTACTCAGCTGCCACCTCTTTTTCTTCTAAAGTCTACCTTTTAAATATTACTTTTTACTTGTAAATAGTGACATATTATCTGCAGCAAGAGCCTTAAAAAAAAAGAAGAGACAACAGCTAGCTGTAGACTGACCCTGTCTTCTGCTGTTATGGGACAGCATAATGGAAGAGCTGTTGTGGCCCAGGTGCCAGGGAGTGCAGTAGCAGGATGCAACAAGGGCTCCATTGACAAGGTGTGGGGTGTTCATGCCCTGTCTATCAGCATAATCTTTATTGGGAAGTTTTCATCTGCAGCTTCCAGACCGTTTCTCAATTACATTTGCCCTACTAGCTAGAGAGTTCTATCAAACATTATAATGCATTTATTTATTTTAATCTGCAAGCAATTTATGACCAAGGTCTAGTTAATAAATAACAAGAAAATGAGCACTATCTTATAAGCAGAGTTTATTCCTCAGAGCTGTATCTGTTGCTCAAAAGGGTAAGCGGTGGGATCTCAATACAAGTAAGTATAGTATAGCTGTTCCCACACCAGTCTGGGAATAATTTATCAGCCTTTGCACACAGATCCAAGATCTCTTGCCACATGATATAACCTAGCTGGAGGGATCTGATACATGCTGGTGCCACTAGAATCTATGTGGCCTGCACACAGAAATAGACTCACACCTCTCCTATCCGGAACACAGAAAAGGGAATTTGGATTTGTGCAGACTTGGGTGTGTAGATGTGTGCTCCTTCTGTCTGAGTCTGTCTGAAGAGATGATACTTTTTCACCTGAACAGAGGTGTGTTGTTAATTACTCACTATTTCCTTCCAGCAAGAAGTTGACAAGGGACAAGGAGGACATCTGCTGCACCTCCAGGTCAGCAGATCGCAGTAAGGCGTAGAAGGGTTCCAGATGCTCCACAGGAAGGGGGACGTTCACTGCAGGAATGAGAGGAAATATTCAGGAGTCTCATGGTTCACCGCAGTCACATTTTTCTCTTATTGGTCTTAAGCCTCAGGTACTACCATGCATAGGCTGAGTGGTATTCCCCTCCATTTAAATTCCATTGCTACTAGCAAAACAGGGCAAGTTTCCTGAAAAGGTTTTGAATAATCAAGTACTTCAGAAACATCATGGGAAGTGAAGCAATATGCCTCGCTACCGAACAAGTCATTCCACCTCATAACACACCCTTATGCTGTGGCTATCTGCACTTTTCATCCAGCAAAAAATACACGGGATAAAGCTATCGATCCAAGTGCCAGAATATTCTCCTTAAAGTAAATTTAAAACAAACAAACAAATCACAGCCTGATTGTCGCTAGTATTTCTACCTTTTTGTAGGACCTAACCCCTTACTGGAATCTCATCTGGCATATCTAGGCTGACTTCTAACTGTTCACAAACTACCTCAGGGGCCAAGTGCTCCCAAGGAATAGTTGGGACAAAGAAGAGAATGTTTCCTTTGTAAATTTCCACTACAGTCTGGCCTCTTGAGCACCGTTCCCTTCCCAAAATTATAGAATGTAAAACCTTAAACAATCACTATGTCCATTTCCATCTGCCGTATTTTGGCTGTGTTGCTCTTGGGAGATTGAGTATACACTGACTCCCACTACTTTCCGTTCTGCTAACTTTTACAGAAGTATTACAGTTACATAAATGACAGCCTGTATAATCATGAGTGATATCTCCTCATAGCAAAACCCAGAAACATTCTGCCCACATAGCAGTGTCAGCATTTCCATTTTCCTTAGCAAACAACATAGCATGAAAGAAAAACAGGGCTTTGATTAATGAATCAAAGGGAATTTCGGAGTTGGAAAAAATATTTTATTTATAATTATGTGAAAATTTTCTAATGCACGGAGATGACTTACTGTGCTGACTCATATGCAAGTAATAGAGGGCAGCAGACTGCTGTAAACCCGGGTTTTCTGAAAAGGCTAAGGTCCGCAAGGCTTCCAGAGGGTCCTTTCCAAGTGGTGACATTTCAAAACCTAAAGATGTACAATAACAAAACAGACTCAATTACACCCGAAAAGGGTCAGTTCACAAGTAGAAATTAAAATTTACAGCCAACCAAACACATAGGGATTTTTGTACTGCAACGAGTCCATAGAGCCCAACTATCCTTATTCATGTTTCCATGAGGAGAAGCAATAAATGAATCTGGAATAACCTGTCCTTGGCGATGCCTCTTGTGAAGCTCACAAAGCTAGTGATTGGAATCAACATAAATTATAACCTTTACACACTTCTCTGTGATCCAATATAAATGCAGGTGTTCCTGTTCTCCATAAGAAACCTTAATCATATCTTCCTGAATCATAGAAGATCTTTGTTAAAATATACCTACTGAACATGGTAGTTTTAGTTAGGAGCTATGGGAGGAGTATCTATTTTTAATTTACTACATTTTACGTTCACTGTGTTTCCTATCCTGGGTATTAGAAAAAGGATTTCAGGGAATAGCAACACGAATGGTAAATGGGCTTGCCTCAGGCTCAGATTTGTAGCATGAATCTACCTTTTCTTGAGTATGATAGTTCCCCTGTGAATAAACCAGATGTTCAGCAATAGCCATCAAGAATACAGCAATAGCAGTCATGTATGACTTCCGAAAGTCGCTGTATAATGTGCTTATAATATGTGGAATGGAGCAGCAGAAAGGAAAAAAAGGGCCATTGAACCAATGCTCAATAGCATAAAGAGTTGAAAAGGTAATGTAGTATAAATTGACTGGTGGAGCACACAATTATTATATTTTCAGACAAGAGATTAAAGCAGTGCATTAACAACTGAAATATCTCTATGAACAAGATCTAGCTACTTTACCTCCCATGGGATAAAGTGATGTGAGGGGTGTGAGCTTTCATGCCTCGGTGCAAAACTCAGCCAATATCTCAAGCCATTAGAAGCTGCTGCTATGTCAAGAGTAACAAATTCCTACCTTCAGGATTAGGTAAGTGGGCTTCACAAAAGAACTGCTTCATATAAAGGTCAATTACATTTAATAATTAACAATAAACACAAAAGGAAGGAGTAGCCAGAGTGTGCAAAGTTTTAGAGAAAAAACAGTAATCTCTTCATGTGGTTTAATTCTGTTCCTTACATGGTGACTATGTGAATCTCCCACATCTCTCTGCATTTTTCTTTGGGAGAGTGATAAAGCAGAAGCCACTCAAAATCTTCCCCCACTTATAGTATCAAGCATTTGCTGATCTAGCTAACAGCTGAGTTTAATGATCAACAATGAAGTCTCTCCCTGCACCCAAACTGACCAAATGTTGTCTCCCTGCTTATTATAATTTGTCCATAACGGAGGATAGGCTTGCTCCACCTCAGAATAAAATACACAGGCAAGCACTAAGGTAAGAGGTATGTGTCTTGGATCTCTTTGTGAGGCTTGCCTCCCTCCATATGTCCTGCAGTAGAATTTGGCCACTCAGGCAATTAACCTTGGCTCTTCTTCCTAGGTGCTGTGTATCTCCTGTCACGGACATGAGGACCCCCCTGAGAACACACACTGCCATCTGTGTACTGCTGTCACAGCTCTAGGCTCCCTGCTCCTGGGGAATCCGTGACAGACCAGCCTTTTGAAGTCCCAGCTCAGAGAGGAAACGATTTCTCAAGAAAACATACACGTAAGTCTTTTCAGGAAGCACTAGTGGGTGCTGTAAAGGGCCAGTCTGGCCTCACTATTCTTTCCAGACCACCCCTTTGTTGCATCTGATCCATCAGCTGAGCTGGGATACTGCCAAGACAGTCTCTTATACCATCAGGAGCAACGCTAGCCTTTGGAAGAAGAAGTTCAGCCCTGGAAGATCCCCACTGTACATGAAGCTGAAAGGTCTGGTCCTGTTCTGGATAAGGACTTCAGGATTTAGCCGGTGCCTGATGTGCAACAATCAGTGAACTCTGTCAGCAGCGTGCCCCCACCCCCCATTTATCGGGTAAGAACACCAGCTAATACCAGCTGAGGCTAATTCACGCATGTTCCCAAAAACCAGCGTCAAAGCAATTATTCCAAAGGTTGTTCCATGACAGATCATTTCAAACAGTGTTAACTGCGTCACACCGAGGAAAAAAGTCTCTCCTGGTCGCCCTCACAAGGTGGTTTTATATCCCCAAAAAGGCAAGTAAAAAAATAGTGGTTTGTGTTCCACACCCTTCACACAATAGGAAATAGAAGGCTGTGCAACTGGGGGCAGCAGCTTTAGCCCAAAGTTGTTAAAGCAATATACCCAGTTAGCTGTGAGACAAAGCAAAGCCAAACAAGCAGTGGCTCCCGCCTAAGCTTGAGACAAGGAATGTTTTTAGGCTGGACAACTCTCAACACACACTCACACAAGAAGATATTCTGGGACTGCAAGGGTAAAATAAATAAGTTTTCCTATTGATATTGTATCCTTGGACACAATAGAGAGCACATTCCGAGTAGATAAACAGGGGATTTAGGCAGTTAGCCTGTAAGGTAGCAGAGATACATGAAGAGTTAGCATCTACTTTGATCCAAGCAGAATCCCATGATTGTGTTCAAGCCTTGTGCCTAAAGCCTTTGGAGAAACGCACTTTGGCAGACCAGTTCCGTGGAATCTGAGGGAGTCCCGGGCGCCCAACGGTGCTTGTCTCAGGGTGACTTTGACCCTCCCTGTGTATAGCACAGGCACCCCCAGCACAAGTGCAGGTGTTCTGCAGCCAGACAACAGGGATGTGCACAGCCCGGCCAGGACTGCACTGCGATCTGCCTGCTCCCAGTGCAGCACTCATGCAGCACCCAGGGTTGGTACAGCCTGTCGCCAGCTTTGCGGCCTCGGTGATTGACTTCCAAAAATTAACTTCAGTTACTAGAACGACTCACTTTTATGAAACCTATTTACATGGGTTATGTATTAACCATGGTGACAGGGCAAGAAAGTGACTGACCATTTCTACCTAGATCCAACTGTTAGGCCACTTGAGCCCTCGGTGTCCTGTACACAAAGAAAATGCTCTGTAGCTGGCCTTTTCTACATCATCACCAAGATGCTCTACGCCATGCCAGAGCAGTTCAGCCAGCTGTTTTCAACCCACAAAATTAATCTCCTTGTTCTTTCACAACCCTTTAGAGAAAAAAAAAAAAGCCCTCTTACCTGTTTCAATATGCTGCAGAAACTCCTGTGCTGTCACCCTCTCATGAGGCTGCAGGATGGGCTTGTAGAGCTGTCTGGCTTTAGAGCTGTTTTGCTTTAAGCAGGAGCAATTGCTTATGAGAGTTAAGCATTCCTTGATGCGGTGCACCAAGTTGGCGGACATCCTCTGAACAAAGGCCACGAAGTCCCGCAGCAGCTGCATGCATCGTCCACACAGTTGACCCATTCTTGTTCCAATGGCAGCGCAAAGCAAGGGGAAGGGAAAGGAGATGGATAGAAAAATTTATCCTCAACTTGTCCAATTTTTGCACTACCTTGCTGCCTCAGTGTTTGTCCTGTCTGAGAGATGTTAACACTACACTGTGTGCAGCTGCTGTGAAGCAGAGCAGCTTCTGTGTCCAAAAAGCTACATTGAGGTACAAGGCTGGTTTCCACAGATCTCCCAGAGTCTACAAAATATTATTTAAAAGGCTGGACTGGAGCCACTCTCAAACGCCCTCCCTTTGCTTGAAGAAAAATAAAATGATGAGCTAAACACATTTTGCGGAGAACAAACAGAGTTTAAGTCCTGGAGCATCCACCAAAGCCTTCATGAGGCTCGAAAAGCTCTGGGATAATGGCAAAGGCAACCTCAGTTTTTGTAAGGCAGCTTTCCACATGAAAGGTAGGCACCACCTTTTCTGCATGTGTACAAGCTGCAGCTGCCAATGGGAGAGGAAGATCAAAAAAAAAAAAATAGGAGCACGCGAACAGGTTTTTCCAGTTTTTGCTGAAGCACAGACCAGAACAAAGGCCCTGTTGGGGAAACAGCTCATAACTCTGTCAACTAGCAAGGGGATATTGCAAAAATCATCTGCAATTTTCAGGCAGAAAAAAGTAGCACAAGGAAAAAGACCAGTTCTCCTTTGGCTCCATCCTTTTGCTGAACTCACCAGTCTGGTGCATATGGCCACTATCAGACTGTTGAACAGTCCTACAAATGACCTTGGTCTAATCAATGGAGCATGAAGTGACATTTGTAATATTCTTGAGGTTTCCAGTAAAATCTGGTTTGATTCAAGATCAAGATTCACCTTCATTCGGGGACCTGTAGGTACTGGTCTGCTGAGTGTTGATCACTTTTATTAACTTCTCTGTATCCATGGATTTGATGGATTTATCCTAACTGTTGTACTTAATACATTTATTGGTAAGTTTTAACCTCAACCTTTGTCCTTCAATAGATCTGAAGTTTCTAAGTAAATCATGTGCAGAACCCTTTGTTCTGCAGCCATCTCCAGACAGTGGTGAACAGGCTCACCTGAATCTCACTGGTCTGCCAAGCCACTGCTATTTCTTCTCTTACTTACGCATGACGTAATTTCTCTAAACACAAATACCACATGGCACAGACAAACCCACCTACACCTGTCAGCAAAAAGGTGTGAGACTTCTACTACACGCTCAATCCATTACAAAGAATGAAGACACTGATTTTTTTCTGGCTCCTTCCTTGGCTGGCTCTGCCTGCCCACTGAGTTCTGATCTCTGTCTGGCCTCTTAATATTATAAAGAGTGAGGCTAATATGCCTATTTTCTCACCACGTCTTCCAGGCTTTTTCAGTCGGGATCTTCTCAAGCACAGTGTTCCTAAAGTCAGGTTCTGCTTGTGCCACCACTTGCTCTTCACGTTTTGCTCATGATCTTCCAAACTTTGGCTTCCATCCTAAAGGCAGTGAGGTGATAGATCCTTGGGAACCCATCACACGCGTCTTCTCTCTCTTGCTTTGTCTTGTCTACAGACCTGTAAACTTTCATTGTTTTGAGATTTTTTTTTTAGGGTAATTGGCACTGTTCTGCACTGAAATGTGAAAACCCAGGACTGTTTCAATGAGACACTAGTTAGTAGTGACGGTGTTTCTGTAACAGATCCTTACTAAGCTTTTCAAAATGTATTACAAACATTAAAACAGGTTTCCAATGTACCTGTAAGGAAGATATTCCAAAAATGGATTAAAAACAAGTTTCAGGGGTGCTGAGTACTTGTAACTCCATTTGAAATAAAGTGGAGTTACAGAACTGTCCTAAACCTGAAAATTAGGCTGTAATTTTCCTAAAGACACAAAATGCAGGTGTCCCAATACCCAGTTTGACGATTCAGCCAGGAAATTGTTCTTTGATTTGAAACTACTACTTGAAAGCCAGTGTAGAAGGTTCACTTGTGGGTCTTCAAACCTGCTCTGAACTGACAATAGCTCCTGTAAAGGTGGCAACCATAAACTCAATGTTTTTTACTGGTTTCATGACCTAAACTGGTTTCCTTATCTGATTGAACAAAAATGTCAGCTCAAGAGTGCAGAAGGGGAAACAGTAGTAGTACTGTAATAGTGTTAAACCATTTTGCTTGTATTGTTCTAAAGAACATGTTCCAAACAGTAGAAGCTCCATCCCCCATCCTGATTTTTTTTTTCCAAAGGGAAAAAATCAGTTCCTTCATAAAGTGTTAAAGCCTTTCCAAACCATTTCCTCAGCCGTGTGCAAAAGAGACTTCCAAGAAGTAGCCTTACCGTATGAAGACTATTTGGAATTCTGTATTTGGAAGTTTAAATCTCTTGGCCAAATAACAGACGAATGCTGTAGCTAAATGGCACTCTCAGCAAAGAGCCTCTACTGGTCCAGCATTTTATCTGCTGTCCTTTCTCTGCAAAGGACAAGAAATAACTGCTTTTCGGCACAGTCCCTTAAGCATCCGACACTCACAGCAGGTTTGTTTTGTTTTGAATTAAGAACAGAAAATCTAAAAATATATTAATTCATCACAAAATCCATCCTCCATTTCACTCAGGCAGCATGTCACTGCTTGAAGCATTTCTTGTAATAGAAATTGCTTTATCTAGTTTGCAATGGTGCATAATTTTTGACTGCTCAGAAGTTGACTGGCACCGGCAAGACAGACACAAATACTCTTATATTCCTCTTTCATACATTACCTAGGGCCTCCTCATTCTAACAGGCCCCAAAACCCCTCAGGCTCTGACTTGAATATTGGAAAAAAATGGGTCAACAGCTTTATTTGAGCTATGGTAGCAAATGGTTCCCTCTTAAAGGAAGAAAATGACAGCTCCAGATTCTGCATTTTAGAAATACTGTTATCACTGTGATTTTAGTCAGTGGAAGAAGGATTTTGGGGAAGTGTAGGAGAGTGGCAGGGATTGAGAACGTGTGGAGTCTTATTTGACTTGTGTGACAGTCAAGTAAGATACTTAGAGGAATGCTTAAAAAGCAGTAAATTGAAAGAACACACTTACATTACTCAAGAATCCAAAACTCAAGAAAACTGAACTAATTAAATCTGCATTTTATGAATTTGTCCCATGTAGTTTTTATTGCGACCCTTGTCTTATACATGTTTCTTTTACTCTCTTCTCTCACCCTTTTGCTGTGGGGTGAGGAAAACGCTGCACAGTTGAGAAAGCTGTAAGATGATGGCTGTGCGTTACTTCCTGGTTAGCAACAGATTTGATTTAAAAGGAGACAGATTCCCTAATGCTTAGCAGGTCTTTTGTTGAGGATTTTCTGCAGGACTATTGGTCATGTAGACTCTTTGAACCTGAGCAACCCTGGCTTTGGCCTAGAGCAAACAGGGCACTGCAGGGCCTAGAAGAAAATGAACAGTGCATAAAAGAGAAGAAACAACGTTACAGCAAGAAGATCTGAAGGTCTCGGGAATGAAGAACTGTGAACACTCCCAAGCTCACAAAACCGCTGCACCTGACCAAGCAGAAACTGCAAGTTGCTACATGAACAAAGCTTGCCTTTAGCAAAGATGCTACATGGACAGAGTTTGCCTTTAGCAAAGATGCTACATGTTTTACCAAATAATCTTAGCTAGGAACCAATCATAATCAATGACATATGCGCCAAGCATTTAACAAGTGTATAAAGAGGCATGTAACCCTGCAATAAATTGGCTCACATCGATCATACTGATCATGGTGTGAAGTCCGTTATTTCATCCCTCGCAACAGTCTTTATTGTCCCTATACCTGCAGTTAAGGGCTCCTCGCTTGTACTAATTCAGTGCAACTGCTCTATAAGCTGGACCTATATAATTTTGTGGCTTCAGAATAACAACAGAAACCAATCAATGAACTAAAGGTATTAAGTTCTTAAACCGGATCTACCACTGATAGAATAGTAACATAAAATAATAAATTAGAGAAAAATGGTTGAGGAAGAAGAACAGTTCTAACGCCAATGTCTGATGTGTGTGACTTACTACTAAGCTCTTCTAAATACACGTATATCTTTCATATACATAATAAATATATGTATCTTTTAAATATATATATATCCTTGTGTGTATATATATGTATATACTCACCATTAAGATTTCAGGAGGAATTCAGGGTGAACAGAAAGAGATTATTAGTCATTTAGCAGGGAGAAAGCCAGATGCGAGGACTTGATATATCCAGATTTGTGAAAAACTGCCAGGGGTTACTTCATTGCATAGTTAAGCAGAGCTTTGTTTGCATTCACTGCAATTTCTGGAGAGTATAAAGGAAGTTGCTCTCACTGCATCAAATTCCTTGGCTGAGATATTTGCTCATCCTCGCTCAGAGGGAGAGTGCCATCTACTGAAGCATCCATCCCCTTTACACAGCTCCCTTGAGCCTTGTCCCACTCATGAACTGACAAAATTTACCCAAGCTGGCTGTAAAACTAAGCAAGGTTTTCACAAGAGGAGAAGCTGATTTAGCTGTGAATCTCTAGTGTACAGTAACAGCTGCACGTACAGGACCAGGCCCAAGATGGTAAGTAGCACCACTGACCTGTGCAAGCCTGTGCTCCCGTTTTATGAAGAGATTAAAAACCTCACTTGGGTTTCTACATTCTTAATAAATCTTTGGAATTGAGGCTATGTTATCATTTTGTAATGCTGAAGAGCGGCGTTGCCTGACGGGACAATCCAACTTCACTGCTGACTATTAACCATGGACTCGCGTCCTCTGTTTACATTAGTGCTCAGCAGATGCACAAGTACTTGGCCGACTCACTGAACAGCGAGGACATCTGCTAACTGTCAGCAAGGGCTTGGCCTGGGCCAGTGATGACGCAGTACTATTGTGCTGCTTTGTCTACACGTAACTTCATGTTGCCTTGAACCTCATACTTTACTGTACATTTTCTGGACTGTTGCTGTATTCAGATAAAGCTGCACTTTGTGTTATGTCCAGAGCTACT